ATATTCAAAGAGATGGTTCACCTGCATGCCCTAGGGGCCGGCGGGCCTCAGTTCTTGTTATACCGTCACCGGAGCACATCACCTCTGCTCTCGTTGTACCGACCCGGGCGTGCTATATAGCCACCGAGGTGTGCATGTATCCATTTGTATACTGTGTATTATTGTGAATAAACCAAGTGCTGTGACCCCTGTATGTATTCTATCTTCTACGCCTACGTCCCGACACATCAGGATCAGACCCAGAAGCTAAGGTTCTTGGTTCAGGGCGTGATCATGCAGCTGAATTTTCAAAATTGTTTTGACTTATAGGTATAAATTAACAAAAAACAAAAAATTGAACGTTTAGCATGATTGACAAACCTGTCAAATGACAGTCAAACAATTTTAATTGTGAGGAGGAGAATAGAGAGGAGACGACAGAGAGGAGGACGACATAGAGGACAGAGACGGTGGACCCCCATACAAAAAAGGTAAAACAAAAGAATATGTAATTAAAGTCTTGTTATTTTAATACCATTCCGTCCAGCTAGCTTTTAAAAATGAATAACTTGTTTTACAGTGCGTAGAGGAATTCACTGAGCCCTCCTGGTCCAAGTTTATATTGATGGTAATGGAAGAGGGCAGAATGTTTTCTGATGGAAATCAAACCGGTAGCAACGGAAGAAATATGTTTACACTTGCCATTTATGTTTAACTGGAAGCCCCCTCAAGGACTATACAAGGACTAAGGGAGGGTTGCGCAGTGTGTAACAGTGGCAGTGTGTAACAGACCTCCGTATTTCGAATATGGCACGTCTGGAATCAAATGTGAATGTTCATATTATGTGTTCTGAATGACTAAGGTCGTATGCATTTGAAACGTCTTGGTTGGGGAGTTGCAACGGAACGGCGGTGAGAGGACGGCCAAGTCGGGCTCACCCGATTTTTAGGCGATTTACAACGTATTACGACAATCTTTTTGGGTTGAGGTCGTTGGGTTACAAACTACCCGCGAACTAATAATTTTATATCGGAGTAGACACCTTAGCACTTGCGTTGTCACTAACACAACCTTAAGGGTTCTCGGCCTACGAGACGAGGCCACATAACAGGCTGTGTACCCTGGGGCAGTGTGTAACATGAACGTCTGGGGTATTCTGGGGCAGTGTGTAATGAGACGAATCGTCTTATTTGCTTATTAATGATATGACTGTGCCCTCACAGTCTCACTGAAACACAACTTTTTGTTTACAATTCAAGTTCACAAAATATATCCAAAATAAGAACCAATTTGAGGTTTTCAATTAAAAACTCGTAAATTTTAAGATAATTTCATTTGAAATAATAAAATTTGTTGATAAAAACCGTTGTTGTATCAACAGCTATTATAGAAAGGAAGGGGAAGCTGTTTTCTCTCTTTCTTGCTGTCTCCAGAGCTCAATCCTATCCTTTGTTTCACACTGCCCCGGGGCGGAGGAGTGTGTCACAAATGCAGACCTTTGTTCAACAAGCTGTAGGTCATACGGGAATGCGCCTAGTAACACATCCGAGTAATTTTCATATTTAGTAAAGGTCCAATCTATTCTTTTGCACCCGATTTACCAAATTCTTTTCATGGTTTGACTTTTAGAGCCATGTACCAAAATCTGTTACACACTGCGCCACCCTCCCTTACAGCAAGTTTATTCTCAATAGGAGACCAGAACTGAGTTCACTCAGTGACAACTCTGCACGGTTTTATGTAAGCTTTCATTCAATATCTCATAAATCGCCACGAAACAATCTGATTACTTCATTAATTTCTCTCAATTTTTTTTGTGCCAGTTGGGGCTTTCCAGAAAGCTGTCTGCATCTGCCAGAAGGCAGAGGCATCCCTTGAGAAGAGAAGGAAGAAGGTCCGAAAAAATCCAACAATAATTCGGTATGGTACCCACTTTTGTTAAGATGAGTACTGATGCTTTAACCACATTAAGGAAATTTTAGAGCAAAATTTGATTAAATTTCTTAACTTTATTCCAGGGTGAAAGATGAAGCAGTACAAATCCACAAGGAATTGGAAACTTTAAGAGGAGAGCCCACACCCCCCGTAGCAAGGGCAAAGCAGCTGCTTAGCAACACATTAAGGTTGAGACTCACGCTCCATTACGCTGACTATTCGGATATGAGGAAAAAAGAAAAATACTTGAACAATGAAAAGTTTGTGAGTCGGTTTTTGTCCATTTATAACATTATAGCCTGCATAAAAAACTCACAAGTCTTGGGGACAGGTCTAATAATTTTAATGAAATTGTGAGAAAGTTAATAATATACAACCAAGTTGAAGTTCTTGAAGGAGAAATTGGAGAGATGCAAAAGATACAATTTCTAGTTAGCCTCCACGAAACTTTGAAAAGACCACGTCAAAGCATTTACCGCACTCCACCTACAACTACCAGGGGCGACACCGGGAGGTCGCGGGTGGAGGCCTTCGCCGTACGCGGGGCGCTGGCTCGGCGTGGCGCGAGCGCGACCAAGCTCACGGGCACCGGGCACCATATCACCTCCCCCAAGTCCAGCTGGATCTTGGCGCGGACGGGCTGAGTGGCACCAGCGGCGACACCGGTTGGCAGGGCAGTGGTCAAGAGGAACATAGGCTGGTGCATGTTCAGTTGTTCCAGCTGCGACGGTGGTGGCGTTGTAGCCGTGCTCAGGTGCTGCACCCACACCTACACCTCGAGATACAGTCACAAAATGTGAAAATCACCCTGAGGTGGACTTAAACCCTCTTTGTCAAATCATCGGTGATATTCAAAGAGATGGTTCACCTGCATGCCCTAGTATACTTGAGCTATTTAAACATTCACTGCACATCTCATGAAATAAAACGGCACAAACAAGCACCACGGTCCATCCAAGGTGAATTAACGCATTGGTTAGTATACCAGAAGTAAATCGTCGTGTCCGTGCAACAACATACTATCTGTTTCGCTCAGCCGCAAGACTATCCTATCTGTTTCGGTATGCCGCAAGACCATCCTATGTGCCTTTTTTGGGTGTTTTGAGTTGAACACACTTCTTATAGATTTTAACATGACGCTTCTTTTTCATTTTATAATTTTTCTTGTTAAAAATCGAGAAATGAGGCAATTTGAACAAAATGAAAGTATCCTAACTGCGGTCGGGTGGCGCGAGGCCGTGCAACAGTATCCTATCTCGAGGCTCTCCCGCTGCGCGTCCGGCGCATCGCGGCAAAGAGCAGAACCGAGCGGAGACTTCAACTTCTTCAACCATTTGTTTCGACTCGCCCTCGGAGTCCGTGTTGTGTGTGGAGGCGGGGAGGACAGGTTCGGGGTTCGGGCTGGCCGGTGAGGAGGAACGATAGTAATATAAAATGTCAGGTTCAAGAGCAGCATTGCTCGTGGCCCTTGCCCTCCAGAAATATGAAGGTGAGGAAGGTTATATTTATCTTTTTGGGGATTATTGATATTTGGTACTTTTCTAAACTGCATACCAGGATACCCAAACTGGTGGTTTTGGTTACGCTTTTCTAATTAAAACGTATACCACCGCCACCGCTGCAATACCGGAGTCGGTTTCCCTTTCGTCAAAGTGTACAGTCAGACACGGTAGACACGAGTCACAAGTTGTGCTTTTTCTTTCTTTAATTTTTATTGTGGTGGGTGGGTCAAAGAAAACCCCCTGCGTCGGGCTATAGTAAAATCCCGCACTTCCGTGTACCTTATCTAGGATAACTAGAGAACGGATCACCGCTTTTGCATACGGAAATGTATGAGGAATTTTACCAGACCATTCTTCGGTTTATATATAGCCACCCTGATTTGTCATTTCGGTTCAAACTTTCAATCGCAGTTTTCTCGGAACGCGCTCCGAGCTAGATAGGATGGTCTTGCGGCATACCGAATCAGATAGGATAGTCTTGCGGCTGAGCGAAACAGATAGGATGGTCTTGCGGCTGGGTGAAACAGATAGTATGTTGTTGCACGGACACGACGAATGTCATTCACTCTGGAAACCCAAGTGTGTACTTGAATGCAGAATATTCTGCATACCTACATGTATGCAGAATGTTCTGTGTACTTTACAAGTATGCAGAATATTCTGTGTACCTGGGCAAGTATGCAGAATATTCTGTGTACCTGGGCAAGTATGCAGAATATTTTGTGTACTTGCTCACGTACACACTTAGTCTCCTGCATAAATGTATGGAGGATTTTGTGTGTATAGATGTAGGTATGCAGAATATTCTGCATTCAAGTACACACTTCGCGACGTGAAACTCGACTGCCCCTGCAACGGGCCGGCGCTCTGCCGAGGCACGCCCGCACACCTTACTCCTGTCCTCATCTTATTGACGGGCAAGCCCAAGACCTTATAGTTTTTTGAACAAAATGTCCTTAACCTTATTTGTATCAGCATATAAAACTTGTTTAAAACCTGTTTTACCCTGATCAACATGTTTATTTGATCCAGGAAGCGGAAGAAGGGATTAACTGACATAACCCAAACTGAGATTTTTAGTGGCCCGTTAATCTACAGAAACAGTGGCACATTTTTCGAAAAAACTATTCGTCTACGTGCCATAGATCCTGAGATACGACGGAATGAACAAGCTGGGCCCGCTCTTCCGCCAAACCAAGTTGCCAGCTCCGCTTCGCTCCACCGGCAACTCGGTTCGGCAGGGAGCGGGCCCAGCTTGGCCTGCCGGCGGCGTTTGGGACGGGCCTTCGGCCTCCTGACTTTTCATGGTGTAATACATCTTCTATCCGAAACCGGGCCTTCGGCCCGTTGGAGTGACGGCTCGCGTTGGACCATCTTTTTGCCAGGTACCTTTTCTGTCCACTTCGTAATCAAAACTCAACAAACGAAGTATTCTTTTCATACGCTGAACATCTTTGGCTGTGTGTGCCGTAGTTTGTAGAATACATGCAAGTTATGCCAAATCCCTTCT